GCGGTCGGTTGTGGCTTCGCGGCTGCTTTTCCACTACTGAGGGTTTGATGGCTGTCAACCAGACGAGAATTGACTTTGATCGTCGCATCAGCATTTTTTATTCGTTTTCTACCATGCAATTTTCCCGCAATGTTTAAACCTTTTTGGTACGAATCATCCATCCTTCCCTGTCAAGAAAAGCTAGCGAGGATTATCGCACTAAACCGACATTTAATTGAACTGGCTTTAAACCACAGAAAATTGGCTGATTGGCATAAGGCCGTCAAGGTGATTGAATTCCATGACGCGTTTGTCAGTGAATGTTCGGTCGGCGAGGTTAACGAGCTCAACAAACTGGTTCCAGTATCGGCAAACGATGATGATATCCCGCTGTGCGCTGTTCTTATTCGACAATTATGGCCACACGAAAGCGTCGTTGATGAGCTTGTCAGCTTCTAGAAATATCAATTGCTCTGAAGCAACAGAAACTCTGAAACTCTCAAACGTAGATGAGGCGAAATGACGACTTTGGTCCATCTCGAACTGCCCATATTTTTGAGATATTATATACTTCCAGTCAAGCGGTCAAGCGCCTGACTACTACTGAATGCGAAATATGCCTGACAATTGAGCTGCATATACGTTTAAAATCTTTGGCACTGAATTTTCTATATGCTAATAACAGTGTGATTTGTTTCAGCCAATAAGCTTTCATAGGTTGATAGCGTTACTGCAAGTTTCGTTACCCGCATTCGTTGCTTTCTTTGCACCATCAGCATATTATTTTCTTAAGCGTTGAATTAGTTCATATTTTTCAATACGCATTATCACATCGATTGTTGATAGTCTGTATTGGGTCATTATTTCCGTGGATCAGACAATACTATCCCGTTGTTCCACTACGTTTGATAAAGGGCCAGTATTCATAACAGTAGCCAACCTTCATTCGATTTTATGGAGTCATCCATATCATTAAACCCGTATAACTCTGATATCATGCGCTTACTGTTATTTTTTTGCATATTTTTTTGTCACTCTGCTCATAGAGGGCAATGAGATTGAACATCATTATACTCTCTTCTGAAATCAACATAAATGATGTCCCCTAATAACTTCATTCTGTTTTCAGTAAATGACTACTTCCATTTAACAGATTATCACTAATTGCAGCAAGATTAGTTGCGACTACTTAACAGCAATAGGTAATAAATGTAATTCGCCGGATTTCGCAATGCTGTGGACGTCAAAGCGAATTTGTGCCGAGCAGCTATGAACAGCAGAGAGCTTTAACGTGAGAATTTCACTAGGACTCTGACG